GGACCATTAGGTCTAACAGTCGATTTGATTGACTCCGTCGAGGATCATTCTGTGTCCTGCGGGCTGGTGCTCGAGGCTGATCGTTTGTCGAGTGCGCTTTTTCGCGGTAGACTGTCTTTCATACGCATCTACAGTCGACTCGCGCGAGCCGAGATTAATAATTGTCGTATTAGTGGCGTCGTTGACAGTTTCCGATTACGTTTATTTTCCGACCGAGAACCGTGGATATCGATAAATGATTTTACACGTGACGCCGATAGACCGATAGAATTAACGGGATGTAACGTTTGCGGTGTACCGATGGTAGTACGAGCGATTCTGTGCGAGATATCTGATAGAGCGGAGTCGTGATTGTCTCGATTAAGCAGAGCGTCACGAATGTTTAGATAATACACAATTGGTTACAGTGTCAATCTTTGTTGATCCATACGGTAGATCGTTTTGTATTTGGATTGCCTTAGATTGAGCCGATTGTGTGACATCGCAGGATCGGTTAACCTAGCTTCTACTGCACACGAAAACATGCTAAAAGGGATGAACGAAGAATTCCCTGAACCGATTTTAGTTTCATTAATGGGTTAGGAGGATCGAGAGATTAATAACGATAATAATAATAATAATAGTAATAGTAATACTAATACTAATCAGATCTGGGCATATTTGAAATATTATTCGAAATAACGTGTTATTTTATTTCACAATTACTTCCATGCCTGTGATCACTTTTGAAATAACGTTACTTGAAATATTGTCTGAAATAATATATTATTTTATTTTATAATTATTTCGAACAATTGTTTAAGATAATTGTACATTTTTTGTCCGCGGTGATAAGTATTGAATTTATCGAGTGCAGTGGATTGTTTGTGTTTAACAATAATAAAATAATAAAATTCACAATAGTATTTATTACTACCTACAATTGATTAAGGTATCGGTAGAAATGAATTATTAAATAATTATTGAGCAATTTTTAATCTCTACAGTTTGTATTAATAACACGAGAGCGAAGGATCTCGTGTATTATTTTTATTCTTAAGTGTTTGGTATTATACAAACGTGGAATGGATTTTAAGATACTTCAATGCAAGAAAAAAGTCATAATTGTTGTAACTTGAAGTGTACTTTGCGGTATTATACTTGACCTACATCTTTTCACTTCGTGCAATTTTACTTACAACTTGTGTACACGAAAGTGACGAACATTTGCATATGCAGATATGGAGAAAAAAGTATACATTTTTTTACAGTGGTAAATAGTAGCAAATTATGATAATATACATCTTGATCTCTTTTTTACGACAATACAAACATCTTAAACGCTATTGATAACAACAAACCATTGAACATAATATAATAAATCATCGAAACAATACTTTCTGTGTACAGTGAGATAAAAATAAATAAACATTAATGAATTTAAACAATCCACTTTAACTTCTTATAAATTCAATTCCTGAAATCAGAAATTATCTGTTTTCACTGAACAGTATTAGAATAATAAAACATTTTTTTAAAAAACGACAAAATACGTTTGTTTAAGCGATTTTCATTCCATCTATATTAACCGTAAACAAATAATTTCGTCGATATAAGTAACACTTGATTTATCAATTTGCAAAACTACTAAGCTGTCGTGGAACATTTTCGCTGTTATTCGTAAAAGAATAAATGAAATCACAGTTGGAACATTAATCAAAGCGAGATACAAAGAATCGACAATTTGAAGCGCAACTTTTCCGAAAAACTGTTCCGAAAATACTTCTAAAACGCGGTGAAAAATATTCGGTAATTTTGCGGACACGACGTTGCGTTGTCTGCACTGTGCAACATAATAGCCTTCCATTCAGGATCGACACAGCTGAATTATGAATGACGGTCGATAGCTAGAGGGAGGACATGTGTACTGACCATGCGAGTTTCTGCTGGTAGAGCGTCAGCGTTACGTGGCTTTCGAAAGAATGTGTTGGAGAATGAAAAAGCTATTAAGCAAAGTTGCAGTGGCTTTTACCAATGCCGACGTCGAGCGACACCCCCGCACAGCCCCAGCCTTATCCGAGTCATCTACCCTCCGGGATTCAATTCGCAGACTCCGCCCCTGAGATATTTCGATCTTACCTTCTGCAATTGTGCGTGCTTCATGATTACCAGCGAAACTTGCTGACGTAAACGGTGCGCCGAGCGAAATACATATAATAGAGAATCGTACCTCTTTACGTTCGTAATAAAATGACTATCATTAGTAGATTGCAGATTTAGGGTCGATACACATCTACGTGCTAGGCTCGGGTCGTGCTAGCAGCGTGCCCGATCGAGAGTGTTCACGTTAGATGAGCGAGCATGGTGCCAGACAGGACCGACGACCTCGAGATTGAAATGTTTTAAACCGAGATTCGGAGTTCAACTTTATCTTTTTCAGATTTTCCAATGCAATTGTAAGCTTTTTCTGATTAAAATAAGACCAAACACGATATAATTTTTGTAAGATTAACTTATAACTTTGGCATAACTTTGGCATAACTCTGGCATAACACTGTCATGACCTTGACATAACTTTGGCATAACCTTGGCATAACCCTGACATAACCCTTCTTTTGTTCCTACGTGGAGGATATCTGCTCGTCAGACACCCCCGGCCCGGGGGGAACGGGCAGGGGATAGTGTGTGTTTCGACCCACTGAAACCTCCACGGCGACCTTCGGACGCTGCGCCGACAACTGACGTTTATTAGTGGGACTAGTCTAATTAGAAAGTGACTACAATACTTTCTCTTAAATTTTACTATTATTTGAAATGGCAAAAAAATAAATAAAGAAACTCATGCGATTTTTATAATTATCACTTTTGTGTGTACCAGTTCGTGTTACTTTCAATAATGTTATTAGTGGACGAATTTACGTAACAAATTTATTTCTCTGCTAAAATACAAAGTATACTTTTATATTCTACTAGATAGTCTGAATTCGTAGTATAAACACATGTTTCAAAAAGTATAACTGTATTGTTCAAGACGTCCCATTTTAAAGAATAATGTTTTGCACTCGCTCTCTCATTAATTTCAAGACGTAAGCATAATTTACTAAATATGATACAGCTATACGAGTATAATAAGTATTTATTTAACTTTTATTTTATATCTGTCTCTTATACACATCTTTTACTAAATATGATACAGCTATACGAGTATAATAAGTATTTATTTAACTTTTATTTTATATCTGTCTCTTATACACATCTTTTACTAAATATGATACAGCTATACGAGTATAATAAGTATTTATTTAACTTTTATTTTATATAATTAAACGGCGCATGTGTGTGTGTGTGTTATTTTGTTACAAATTTGTAAATCAGACAATCGTGTCGATACGGAAGGTGTTTAAACGACAAAAATAAAAATGTTGTGTAGGATGACGTTTTATTGGTTTTCTAAAATGTTTAAGTTAATATTAATATGAGAAGTATATTTATATTTTTCATAAAATGTATTATAATCTTACAAAAATTATATCGTGTTTGGTCTTATTTTAACCAGAAAAAGCTAACAATTGCATTGGCAAATCTGAAAAGCATAAAGTTGAACTCGGAATCTCGGTTTAAAACATTTCAATCTCGAGGTCGTCGGTCCTGCCTGGCGCCATGCTCGCAGATCTAACACCGAACACTCTCGATCGCACACGAAAATTAATAAACACCGTTTTTTACCGTTTCGCTTGCGACCCACCCCGTTTAATACGTTGACTGTAACGCGTATTTACAACAAAATCTCCTACAGGCCACCCGTGCCGCTATTGGAAGCGTGCGCTGTTAATTCATATCTGTTTCTGTTCCTGCATGAACTGTTGGAGTTTTTGCTGAGTACCGAATGGTATAACTTAAAATCTCTGCCCTTATTTTTTTTTCAATAATGGGAAGAGATCGGATTGCCCGGAAGGAGAAGCATAAATAAAATTACATCGTCAGATTCTGATTTGGATATTGATAAATATAATCTTAGTGATAATGAATGTTATGAAGATACTATTGACGAGATTTTACGAGAATTGGTCATGGAAGAAGAAAGAAATGTTGATGATACCGAGGAAGCTACAGTTCAAATAAAAGATACGAAATGGACCGATCAGAGGCACGAGCATATCTGAAAAAACAAACAACTTTTTGTCCAAGCTGTCCTGATCAACCTCAACTTTGCAGAGAATGTTTTAATGTTATACACTGCGAATAATTTTTTTAATAAACCATTTTTATAAGAATTCAATAGTTTCATTACCTCCTGTAGAATATTTGTCGAAATATTTTCGGAAATCCTTTGTAAGTAGTCAAATCAGCGTCACCCGAATTACGGGTGACGTAGCCTGATGAGAACTTTTACTGTCACCCAAATATGGGTGACGCGGCAGTCAACGTGTTAAGGAAGTATCAAGTAGCAGACAGCTGCGATACAAAATGTTCGCGCGATCTATACGTCTACAATTACACGTCGCAATGACATATTAAACTCAGCAGTCGGCGCAGCGTCGCGGCTTTCGCTCGAGCCCCCGTGAATCAAAGTGCCACGTAAACCGCGATGAATGCGCCGCGCTTCATTCCGCTATTCGCCGCTTCGTCGCCCGCGCGGGTTCGCATCCCTCGATTCGCGATCATCGTTGCCGCGCCGCGCCGGTCGCTTCCAGCTAAGATCAGCGGTTCGTGGCTGATCTATAAATAAACCGAGGCATCAGTGGCTTTACTTTCTGCTTGCAGCAACGTAGCTGTATCGATCCTCCATCAAGATCCTCGAAGTTACGACCTCGTTATCGAAGGTACGCTCGCGTAAGATCTCGGGAGAAGTGTGTCGTTACCAGTGGAGGGTTGACAGCCTCCGGCTGGACTGGTATCGTGGAAAGGTTGTCCAGGAGCCGAGGACGTATCAGGTGCGAGCTACCAGGAAGCCCTAGCACCTGTCTCTCGGTGGATTTCGAGCAGAGGGGGTGGGGGGTGACGGGTAACAGCACCTAAGGGCGGGTGGGGGGGATGCAGCTCGAAAGGGTGGCGGCATGGAGGAGCACTCGTTGGAGGCTCACATGCAGGCGGGCCTCATCTTCGTGGTCGGTGTCGCCATCATCGTGTCGAATCTCCTTATCATCGCCACCTACCTTAATTTCCGTGGTAAGTACCCAACGATTCCGACGGAGCTCTTGCATGCAAAAAGAAACCGAAGCGATTAATCGCGAAACGAAATTACCGACGATAGCCTGCACGCCGCTCTTTTAACAGATTAGCAGAGTTTCCGAAACCCTGCCGTGTAACGAGTAGAGATGGGATCGAGTATGTTGCAAGTAGGTGCGAATCTAGCTGGACGGTGTCGTATGTTTCGCGAGTAGGGGAGATACTAGGATAGCGGAGCCGATTACTGTCGGGTTATATCCGTCGAATAAGATGTATCAAATTTTTGTATTCTTTCGTTCTGTTTATGTTTTTAGTGAAACGATTTAATTCTTTTATTTTGTCCATCTTTTAACAAACCGAACCAAAGGCACAGCAATTGGTCACCACACAGTGACCGGCTTCGCTACTCTGCATCCGATGTGGGTAAATTTTATTTGGAATGAAAACGAAGAATACAGTAAGTTCCCATTGATATTCGGACGCAATATTATTTCTTTGTCTTTTGCTTCGTATAAGCGTGATTCCCTTATACGAGCACTTAATTTTACAATATTCTGGTATTCGATCTAAGCAAATGCTTGGATCGCTATTGGTTATTTGTGCTTGGACAATTTAAGTTACATTTAGAAATAGACTGCGGACCTTTGTGCGAAATAAAAGTTATTTCGCATCAATTGTACCAAAGAAGTGTTACGTAAACACTCCTTTCTCAAGAGTTTCGATAAATTCGAATTATTCAATTTTTGTTCTCAATTTATTGAGAATAAATGCAGTTCTATCGAAATTCGATTTATTCGGAACAGCGTAACGACATTTTCACATCCGGCTAACGATTTTACTATTCCGCATTTCATTTTCCCATTTTTGCCAGAAACGTTTAAAATTCCCAGTCTATTTGTAAGTTTCATTTACTTAGATAACTATAATCGATCGTTACATTGCGCAGGTCCCTCCGAGGTGATAAACTATTACTTGCTGTCTCTCGCATCGGCGGACCTTCTCTGCGGCCTGCTGGTGGTTCCGCTTTCGGTGTATCCAGCGCTGCTTCGAAGATGGGTCTATGGGGACATCGTGTGTCGTCTCGTTGGTTATTTGGAGGTTACCCTCTGGGCGGTATCTGTGTACACTTTCATGTGGATCTCCGTCGATCGTTACTTAGCCATCAGGTACGTTCAAGTTTCGTAGAAACATTACCTCGGATCCATAGCTTCTGTACGACCACGCTGCATCACGGTCAGCCAGTTTAGAGACTCGTGAATTCATTTGCGACCACATCGTAACGCGTCCTCATTATTAACCCTCGCTGCACGACCACTGGGTCCGCTTGGATTCGAACGCGGAATACAGTAATGTCTCCCTTACTGACGCTTAGATTGCGCACAAAAATGGACAATTTGGGAAGAAAAGATACGATTAATTTGAATCTTCTGCCTCGTTTTACTATTACGAATTATCAACAACTATAAAAACGAGATTTAAGGCTCGAATAATCGTATCTCCTCTTCCCAAATTGTCCAATTTCGTGTACAATCTGAGCGTCAATTAGAGGGACATTACTGTACCGGCCGCAATTGCTCGACGCTTCGCGTCGGTCTTCGTCTATTTATGTTAAAACTAAAGATGAGATAAAGTAGGCATAAATCTAGCTCTAGGTACATAGTTCCAAATGTTTCGTGAGTACTTCGAGACGGTATTGTAATACGTTCTCTGTATACATCAGAATTGGGCATACTTTATTTGAAATAAGACAAGAAATAATACAGTGATGTCTCTCTAATTGACGCTCAGATTGGGCAGAAAAATGGACAATTTAAGAAGAGGAGAGACGATTATTCGATCCTTGCGGTTCACTTTTATAGTTACGAATTGTCAAGAACTATAAGAATGAGCTGCAAGGCTCGAATAATCGTATCTCCTCTTCACAAATTCTCCATTCTTGCGCGCAATCTGAGCGTCAGTTACAGAGACACTACTGTAATTTGAAATAATTTCTTTCTATTTCGAATATTTTACTATTTTCATTTCACAGATGATATATACAAAGTGGTTACATTTTGTAGTTAATTCGAATAAATTATTTCAAATACTTTCCTGAAATAAGATAAATATTTTGACGTTAGACGTTGAACTAAATGTGAATTAATTGGTCGAGAACAGGGGAGTGTTTATAGTTATTCGCTCTGAAAACGGTCTTTGAATTCGATCATTCGTGTCGAAGCTTTATCACTGCAATAAACGAATATTTCAGCAACGTTGACCGATCGAAACTAAGAATATTTGAGACTTTATTTAGAAAAGTATTTGAGAAAGTACAGTAATGTCTCCCTAATTGACGCCGAAATTGTGCTGAAAAATGGACAATTTGGGAAGAGGAGATACAATTACTCGGGCCTTGCGGCTCGTTTTTATAATTGTGAACAATTTATAACTATAAAAGTAAACCGCAAGGCTCGAGTACTCGTATATCTCCTCTTCCCAAATTGTCCACTTTTGTGGAAATTCTGAGCGTCGATTAGGGAGACTTTACTGTAGCAAAGAAAATGAAATATTCGTACGAATATACAGTAATGTCTCCCTTACTGACGCTCGGACTGTCCACTAAAATGGACAATTTGGGAAGAGGAGATACGATTACTCGGGCCTTGCGGCTCGTTTTTATAATTGTGAACAATTTATAACTATAAAAATAAACCGCAAGGCTCGAATAATCGTATCTCCTCTTCCCAAATTGTCCACTTTTGTGGAAATTCTGAGCGTCGATTAGGAAGACTTTACTGTAGCAAAGAAAATGAAATATTCGTACGAATATACAGTAATGTCTCCCTTACTGACGCTCGGATTGTCCACTAAAATGGACAATTTGGGAAGAGGAGATACGATTACTCGGGCCTTGCGGCTCGTTTTTATAATTGTGAACAATTTATAACTATAAAAATAAACCGCAAGGCTCGAATAATCGTATCTCCTCTTCCCAAATTGTCCACTTTTGTGGAAATTCTGAGCGTCGATTAGGGAGACTTTACTGTAGCAAAGAAAATGAAATATTCGTACGAATATACAGTAATGTCTCCCTTACTGACGCTCGGATTGTCCACTAAAATGGACAATTTGGGAAGAGGAGATACGATTACTCGGGCCTTGCGGCTCGTTTTTATAATTGTGAACAATTTATAACTATAAAAGTAAACCGCAAGGCTCGAGTACTCGTATATCTCCTCTTCCCAAATTGTCCATTTTTGTGCGCGATCTGGGCGTCAATTAGAGAGACATTGCTGTAATCCTCGAATGAAAACTTCGAACACCGTTCGGATAACATTGTTGCTTCTATAATCGAGCGATTCCGTTCCCCAGAAAACCGTTGCGATACGAGACCGTGCAAACGAAAACCCGATGTCAGTGTTGGATGGTCTTCACGTGGATCAGTGTGGCGATGATGTGCTGCCCACCCCTGTTAGGTTTCCAAAAGCCGATTTTCGATCGGGAGGCGTTCATCTGCATGCTCGACTGGGGCAACATGGCCGCATACACCATCACATTGTCGATCCTCGTACTAGGCCCGTCGGTCATCACCATCGTCTACACTTATTTCTACATCTTCACAATGATGAGGCGACTGCGGTCCGGTGTACTGATTCACGACAAGGAGTACGCGACTGCGCTCTCGGAAAACCTGAGCAATCCGAGTCACATCATGTCCTTTGTTCTGGTGATGGTTTTTTGGGTCTCATGGGCACCGTACGCCGGTCTACGGATATACGCTGTCGTTAATGGACCTCCTCAGGTAAAAAAACTCGGTTTGCTCCGGCTGTTTTTCATTTACAGCTGATCGGAAGACCGCTCGGCCACCTTAAGCACACGATCGGCCGAAGTTCGCGCGGAATCGCAGGCTCGCAAATTCGCAATGTAAATCAGTATCTGTTCTTAACGATGTCCGTTTATTTTGTACACGGAGACACGAAAGCCCACGGCAAAATAAACGATTCGCAACGCTCATCGGAAACGGATTCTGATTCGTTCGTTTGCGAATCCACGATCCGACGCGAACGTTCGTCGAATGGCTAAGCTGGTCGAACATCTTTGCGACCAACTGTATTTTGAGCACTGCAAGATTTCTTTAACCCTTTCGGTGCTAAGAAACACTTAACGAATGGATTTATAAGTGTCGGGACACGCATACTCTCCTCGGAAGTAATCGTAACGTAACATCATCATTGAGCGACATTCTCATCGAATCGAATCGCATTTCATTCACGATCTCACACCTTTGGAGTAAGTTCCCATCGAGTTGTAGCACTAATCAGAGAGCGATCAGACATTTCACGGTATCGGAGCCAGTCAATTTTCACCCGAGGAGCGTGTGAAAACTCAAATTATTCACACAGCTGCGGCATATAATCGCAGCCAATCAGCCGATAAGCCGAAGATATTTAGCATCTAAAGGGTTAATGGAAAATCGTACAAAGAGAAGCGAGATGTTCGCATAGTGAAGTAATACTTAAAAGGATGGGAGAAGGTAATACAACGAAACGGTATATACATACATACATTATTGATTAATCCTCATCTGGCGAATGCAGGCTCCATTCGGATCCATCTTTATATGTGTATTGTCAGTTGTGTAGTATATAGGACATAATACTAATACGATAACTCGTCTTTATTGCATAGTCGTCGTTTTTAAATGTGGAAGGACAATATTTATACTCGAACCGACGTAAGATTAGAGTTAATCTATCAGCTAATAATCGTATCTTGCTTGTAGTAATTAGAGAATAATGCGTATATTCGCCATGTGTAGCTTGATCACAAACGCTATATTATGCTCACTGCTTCATTAAATTTTTTTCACTTCGCTACGAAAGCAGAGAATACGCAATTTAACCTTGACTACCGCATTTTTTAAAGGGATGTAAATAGGTGAGTATTATACGTGTCCGAATGGACCTCGCATTCGTTGATCGTAGTAGAATTTGCTTGTGGCTTAAGTAATTATTATACAGGATGTCCCATTTCTTCTGGATTACACGTAATTCGAAAAAGTATTTGAACATTACAATCAGTTAAAGAGAGTATTTCAACGATACAATTACAGTTACTTCAAAATCGCCTAATCGTTGAAGTAAAGTTAGGCAATATTTTATTCGGCCAAGGAATAGGAGATAGAGATCAATATATTCGATACTATCGAATAAATATCTAATCGAATTTTATCTAGATAACGATTTATCCGAATAAGAATTTATTCGAATAATATTTTATTCGGATATACAAATTTATACGTAAATTCGTCGGTAAAATTGTTGATTCGAATAAAAACGATACGATGAAAACAATTTCTTTCCATAATTTATTAATTAATTTCTTTCGTGTTAAATTTAAAAATTAACTTTTTCTCAAATCGAATGTTCGCATCGAATAGTTTGCTACTTTTGATCGACGTATAACTAAATAATCTTTCTACAAAGTGTACGTTTGTTTGTAAACAGGTTCCTCCTGAAATATTTTTTTTTCAAACAACGAAGCTCGTTTCTCTGGATGTTTAACGAAGCTCGATTTTTAACGAACGATGAGACATCCTCTATAAAATTATTTGGTCGTAACGTAAAAACATTGGGGTGCATTCGATATTCTTTTTTATTGAAAAATAATGTTTCCATTAATTAGAAGTGGCTTTTTATCATGAACTACAATCTGGTGCATTGTTAATCCCTTCGTGCCGAGGAATGAAATATTTCGCCACGAGACGTTGTTCGTACGATGCTGTAGGCGAGATACTTCGCATGCTTTTCGGTCAGAACGTGAAATATTTCATGTCAACGTTTACATTTTTGTCCTCGCGACGCAGTTATAAATTAATTTCTTTACGAATTTCTGGACGAGATGTTTCGCATTGCGATAACGTTTGTGCACCACTATGGACGAGACACTTATTCGTATAAGAAGAATATTATACTTATATTATACTTAATATTAATACTTATTCGCATTAATCGAGTAGCTTATTCGTGAAATCTGAAGTAAGAAAAGATTTCTTACACCAACCAGAGAATTCCTCGCGATGAATGCAAGAATAATAATACAATTTAAATGCATAGAGATCCGCAGTCCATTAATTAATACACAAAACTTATTTGCTAAACATTTCATCGTTAATAAACAACGAAAAGTTTTGCGAACGAGTTCCTCTGTTTCCGATGTTTCATTCATAACTTCGCACAAGCATTATTGCAAAATACATTGCTTATAGCATTGCACAAACATAATTACGACACGAAGTATTTCGACTCCAGTAGCGGAAGGGTTGATTCCGGGCCACAATGTTGCGTCGAAGTTACAAAAAAACAATGAACTTTTCTGTTAAAAAATTTTGCTAATTAGAAACAGGACTGTTAAAATTTTCAATTGTTATTTCGGCCGTCAAAGTTGAATGAATAACTAATGGAGACAAGTTATACCAAGTTTTAATGAAGTATATAAAATAAAATAAATGTTCTCTTACAATTTCACATATTACATAAATGTTTTTATGAGAATTTTTTTATAGAAACATCTTTATTCAATCGTATATTTTAATAGAAATCATACGAAATTCAAATAAATCTGTATTGGTTAAATAAATCATCTGGTTTAAAGCATTAATAAATAAATAAATAAATCTAATCTTGTCGTACGGAGTTTAAATAAATCTAATCTTGTCGTACAACGTTCAGATAAATCTAATCTTGTTACTGATATCAAAGAATATAAAAATATATATCAGTCGCGTTTTTAAGGTCAGATAGTTCTAGTATTAACCCTCGAGGACTTTCGCGGGGTAGACATAACCCTGCTTTGTTATTCGGGTAAATAAATAAAATATATAATCGGGTATATAATAAATATTATGTTATATTTTGTCGTATTCTGAAATACATATCAATCTTTTATTTTCAAAACGATTATTTCTAAATATTAGGTTGATGCATATGAAATGTCGGATTTTTAAACAAATAGTGCAGAAACTTCATTTCTTTTCACTTCAGTTTTTTTTCTTTAAATATGTTCACTTAATCAAAATATCTCCCATGTTTCCCAACGAGTTTTTAACGTATAAATTCCATCGTTAAAGAAATTCCTATCTTTTGAACGAATAAACTCGATTTATAAAAAAAATTACACGAACATCCTCAGAATTCATGCTCGCACGAAACTCAAAATAAACAACTAAAAAGAAACACAATTATGAATAAATTCTTTTCAGCAAAAATTACGACGCGATAGTCAATAAGACTGTAAAAGCGGTTACATCGTAAACAACAATACAACGTGAGCAGAGAGACAAACATTTACACGTAATAAAAGTTCGACATTTCGTATCCATCAACCGGATATAAAGCGTGCACAGATATGTGGAGTTTTCGAACGGAGTAGGAATCACCCCGCGCGAAGTCGCTCGCGCAAGCCTAAGCAACGACGGTCCTTGTGGGTTAAACGTTGACAGCCAAAAGTTGTCCACTAGAATCAGTCAGCTGTTTTCGCACTAGAATCGAGAAATTTGTACAAGCGAAATTAGCCAGCAACCGGCTTACACCATAAACTGTATACGAATTTGTATCGTGTACGGTCTTTTCGTCAGAGAGCAATGTATCCGTCACACAGCAATGCAACCGAATGTAGTTATCGTACAAGCTAGAGTGGTGTAGCACTTGGCGTTCCAGTAAGGAACGAAGCGAGACGAATTGATTTCAGAAGCTTATCTATCTATCAAGTATATCGAGCGCCGTAACGAAATTCTTTGAAACACGTCGATCTGTTGTGACTCTGTTCAGGTACCGTTCCTTCACTTCGCGGTGGTGTGGCTGGGTGTGACGAACAGCTTCTGGAAGGCGGTGGTCCTGGGAACCATGAGCCCCCAGTTCCGTCTGGCGGTTCGCGTGCTCTGCCTGACCTTGTGCTGCCGGCACAGGCGGCTTCCACCGGAGCTGCTCGGCCTCGACGACGATGATTAGGAAGCCGAGCGACGGGACGCCAACGAGAACCAGACGATGGAGAAACGCTTTTCTTCGCGCGCGCGCGACCGTTCCACACGCGCCACCATTCCTAGAGCATCGCTTTTTGTCTCGGTTCGAGGTCGTTCTTGCATCCGCCAACGTTCTCTCGGACACTTCTTCGAGGGCTGAGACTGAGATTCTTTGTTCCGAAACAACCGCCGCGACGCGCCGCCGTTTCGGGTTCCACGTCGGGCCGCCATCCAGAACTCGCCCGCCCCTCCCGTGGAACGGGTCGCGATGATCGATCGTATCCCGGTTTACGAACAAGCGAACCAAAAAAAAACAAAAACAAAAACAAAAAAAACAAACAAACAAACAAAAAGAAGAAGAATGAAAGAAAGAAAGAAAGAAAAGAGAGGAAACAGAAAAACAAAGCAAAACGAAACAGAGGAAAAACGAGACGAACAAAGCGCGAGATAAAAACGAAACACGCGACAAATTCTAAGGGGCGAAGCGATCCGAAACAAAAGGGTTGGTTGCCTGATTCGTCGAGGAACCGACCGGGTTCGGAGGATTTATACAACCGTCGGCTTTCGGCATTAGCCAATTTTAGACGCTTCGAATATATTACCGTTTTACGCGAGAGAGTTTCACTCCGATAACGATTTTATATAGCCTCGGGAGTGAGAGAAAGAGAGAAAGAGAGTGAATGAAAGAAAGAGAGAGAGAGAGAGAGAGAGAGAGACGCGTTCCTAGCCGAGCGCGATCGATCGGGGCAGCTCGGTCAAGTACAATAAAAAATGTTTTTCTCCTGATCAACGAGAAAATCGCACTCTTATGATAATAAATCCAGACCACAAAGACTAAATTCAACCATCATTCTCGGTTCTACTGATCGAACACCTCCCCCCCGCGATTACTTGCACCGAACGCCCGCACAGTGGTCCGGGAGTTCGCTTTCCGTGACCAAAATTGTTCCAGCGTTAATTCAAGGTTTCAGGTTACAAGTTTAGCAGGTCGTTGAATTCGCCCCGATACCAGCTAGTATACTAATCGAGTCAAAAATGTGTATTTACACATTGAAAGAAATCGAGACAGCCGGCATTTGTTATAAAACAAACATTTTCTCTCCAAGTTTTCGTATTCGAATTTTTAGCGAAGCAAATACCGACGAGGTCTCGTTGGAAACATTTTCTTTCACCAGATCGTCGGAAATGTCTGAGAAATCGTAGTTTGTTTTGAAATTGGCTACGAACCCTGCAGTGACGAACGCGCTCACCGTTCGACTGTTTACCGAGGAGTCGAAATACTGTCGACACGTATTTGTTAATATTATTCTACGCGCGAACGTTGCAAGAACCCAAACTCGATATCCTCTTCTCAGCAATTGTTTAAGCTTTCGTATAAAAAAGATTTCACGCTGACAACCGTTTATTGTATTTTTTTAAACGCTCCTGAAAGATTAAATTGTTATTGACGTCACATTTGTAAATGGATTATCGAATGAATAAAACTAGATTCTTTACTTCGAGCGTTCAAATTAAACTGTTTAATTTTACTTTGAATTTTATGATTTTCCAATTGCAGTAATGTCTCCCTAACTGACGCTCAGATTGCACAGAAAAATGGACAATTTGGGAAGAGGAGATACGATTTTTCGAGCCATGCAGCTCGTTTTTATAGTTCTTAATAATTCGTAACTATGAAAACGAGCCGCAAAGTTGGAATAATCGTATCTCCTCTTCCCGAATTGTCCACTTTTGTGGACAATCTGAGCGTCGATTAGAGAGACATTACTGTAGAACGCCGTATCTCGGTACAGAATCATCCGATACGAAGAATATTTTGCATGCGGGAGTTATAAAGGGTTCTCAGTTTGTAGCAAAAACAGGCTTTTCGATATACTAAATTTAAGAGATTGAATTTTGGTCATGGAACGCGCTTCTTGCTCGGACCACTGTGGACCGTATCGTTCACGAACAACTGGGGAATATCGAACGCGAAACCGCGGGGCACACCGGTCGTTGGAGATCTGGTGTTCCCGGTTCCGGGCACGTTCGTTGCTTCTTGGAGAAAACTATTCGAATCACTGTAAACGTATAAGCGTAAGCGTATTCCTTTTTCTATGCAATCTCAAGTTAAATATAGTTGATTATATACACACACACGTCTACAGTCTATAATTAAAAGAAGCTATTCTGAAAGTGGAACAGAGAGAGTCGGCATATTGCGACGAACGAAAGAAAGAATCGAGGCTCAGAACTTCCGAGGAACGACTTCGAGCTTGCTGACTAGCGCGACGGACGCTAATATATCAGCCACTTCACCGATTTAGTTGGCCAAAATTCTTTCTAACGCGGGATTTTCGTTCGAGACGCGCCTATATTCGATTATTTATGATACTTGAACGCTTTCTTAACGAACACGTGACATGCTCGAACGAACCGAATTTTTGGTAAGATTTTTAGGACGCGAAAGGGTAAAAATATCATCCACTATGAGAAACATGAATTTTCTAGTTTCAGTTTCGTTAATCGTATTACTTAGATTTTGTGGGATTTTTGAGGAGTCGATTCTCAGAACTTGACGTGCCAAGGAATAATGTCAGAACACGAGGACTATTGGAAACTAATTCGAAACGATTGCTTAAGGGATTTTTTTATTTTAGAGTTGTCGCAATTATTTGTTCGATTGTTACGATCGAAATTGCATTCGTTATTCGTCCACAATTTTGACGATTTTATGACGAACTTACTTCTTCGAGATTGTCATCTTCTCGTTGGAATCAGTATAAATAACTGGCATCTTGAATTGACGTTTAGAAAATTAAAATTTCGGTGAAACGTGCGATCCTGGGTCAACATGGTGGTCCCAAGTCACGCAATTCCAATTTTTATAACTAAAATGCAAAAATTTCGTTTTAAAATAATAAATTCTTTCCTTCTATAATTATTTCAATCGATTCGAAATAAGATATCGACATTTTTAAATTCTTATCATCTGTCCACTGTTTAACATTGCAACTATTCGATTGTGCCAAAAAACGCATAAAGTTCTTAGTCGAGTTAGTCGAGAAAATTCAAAATCCCTTTTGTTGTCAATTCGTTGTTAATTTATATGCAGATTGATATTTCCTGGTTTCGAGTTGCTTAAACTTATTTTATACTTATTATGAAAGATTTCGGCTAAAGAGAGTTTTCATTGTAATTTATTTTGCGACATAAATGCGTCCAATCCGCAGTTTAGTTACAGTTGTTCTCGAGACAAAGCCGTTTAATTTATACACTGTTAATGCGCGGAGCTCTGAAAACGCTTATTTGCTTCACAGCAACAGAATGAACCAATTGCATTTTGATACGTCCAGCTCGTTTACCCCCATCGGATCGAACGCATAACAATAGTCTGAAGAGACTTCGGTGAAATCGACTTTTGGCCAGCTAGATCGGGCAAACAGCCCACAGCGTGCCGCGTCTCCGATCGTGCTTCGCTGACAGAACCGCAAGAGAGAAGCTAAAGATCGCTGTTCGATCGGAGATACGATGTGGCGGCGTTTCCTTTTCGTCCTTCATGGTTTGCTTTCTTTCTTCTCTCTCCGTGTAATGGACGCCGCGCTCTTGGTCACGTTCGCGGGAGCGCACGCGGACTAACCGTTGCCTATCTACGTCGTAAGATCACGCTCAATAAATGTCGTAGCGTACGAAAAAACGAGCTGTTTTGCCAATCACTAATATGTCGCGCGAATGGAATCGGAGCGGTGCGCGGTTTCGTTCCAGCGAGTCGAATCAATTACGAAGAGACAAACAAAAAAAAAAACTTAACGCCGCGAAGTAGACACGATACACGTAAACACACATACACACACAGACGCGCGCGCGCAGGCACACGTACACGTACATACCTACGTACGCGCGCAGAAAATAACGAAAAATACTTGAAAAACAAAAAAAGAAACGAAAAAGAAGAGAACACTAGGTCAATTAACGGAGATGCCTCTACGAATGCGACGACGAATGCGTCGATCTGCGCGCCCGTAGAACGCCCATCCCATGGATATTCACTGAAGGGGACCCGATTGCGCGGACTCACGCTTTCTTCCTTCGTTCGATTCGGTAATCGACACCCCTTTTCGCCCCTTCTCTCTGCCCCTTCCTCCGTTCTCGCTCTTTCTTTGCGTCTTCTCCGTGTCTTCGAGATTACGAAACTGTCACACCGGGTCAGTCCGACGCTGGATTTACCGGACCGGTCCAAACAATTGTTTTCAAGTTCTTTAAGGTTCTTCAGCGCTTGGCCTGTTAACCGGGGAATTCACTTTCGTTCAACTTGTTTCACAATGGGCGACTTGTTTCGTCGCAGTGAGAAGTTATATTACATCGTCGCGATTAAAGTAATAACAGAAATCGCTTTTCGCTCGTTGATTATTTATTTCGACAAAATATTTGATGACGTATTTAGAAAAATATATAAATAGAATATTTACATCTCGCGAAGAATTAATTGAACAAATTAAAATAATTAACTTTCGTTCAGCTTGTTTCACAATGGGGGACTTGTCTCGTCGCAGTGAGAAGTTACATTACATCGTCGCGATTAAAGTAAATAAGAAAAATCGCTCTTCACTCGTTGATTATTTATTTCGACAAAATATTTGATGACGTATTTAGAAAAATATATAAATAGAATATTTACATCGCGCGAAGAATTAATTGAACAAATTGAAATAATTATTTCGCGGTATGATATTTCTCGAAGCAATAGCACTTTTATTAAGTTTAATATTTCTGTAATTAATATTACATACTATTGGTTACGTTTGCTCTCGAGGAATTAGGCGAAATGTCTTTCGATTAATCTGGATGGTTCCTGGTTGGATGATGACTGTCCAAGCGATGACACTGTTAAAAATGACACCGTTGTTGCGGTGTTTGAAACGAAACTATGCAAATTCTAAGTGTTGCCATATGGTCAGGCTAGGTTTTAACGTAAAACGAAATGCCCTCCATATATAACTTTTAAAAATTTCCATGACGAAAAAAGCCGACATACGCATTGACGTTGTCTTTCTGATGTGACGAAATATTTCGTCACACCCGGTTAACAGGTGAAGATTCTTTCATGTTAGAGCTGTCGAAATTGTTGGTTCGAAATCAGTGCGAAAGTTCGTGTCCTATTTCAATACATATCATTGGACTGTGTTTCTTTACGCAAAATAAACATCATCCAAGTTAGCATAAGCATTGCAAGAAACTGAAGGTTAGACGAACGTCGTGTTTCTTTCCATTTAACCTTTGAATTGCGGTAATCGGTACGTTTTGACCCAATGTGCCCGATTTTAAAAGTCATCTAATTACTCGATTTAAGTAAAAAGTTTAATTGAATAAATTGCTGTTACACTGGAAACACCGGAAACAATAATAGATCTATCGGAAGAATCTTCGATGCTATGGTCAAATTGAAGTTCGACGTGTGGGTTCTGTTGTTAAATAAACAATGTAGTAACATTCATTGAAATCAGGCATGAACTTTTGCACCGGTGGAATGCGACGATGTTTTCGTTAGATACGTTAATTTCAGGTGAGACGAGTCCATCTCGTATAAATACATTATGAAGAAGTTTCAATTTTCAGGTCAACTTTGATCGAAACGATTACAATGGTGCGTTTAGGCGAAACGAACGAACGCTCGTTCGGCCCCGGCCGCGACAAAATTTATTAATCGATGCTCTATTTAAATAACACGAACATTCGCTCGCGTACATAGTTCGTTACCGTTCGCCTTGTGTTACGAGCACCAATTTTTTCAAAGTGGAGGCGAACGACCATTCGCTCGTTTAGTTTGAACGCAGCGCACTGTATCGCAACCTACTGAAATCGCAC